AATGGTGGTGGGTTTTTTAAAATCCAATGTGTGGATCACATAATATTTCAAAAATTTTAACTTTTGAGTATAGATGAGCCGCACTGTATATACATCATAACTTTATTTTCGCTAAATGTTTTCGAAAAATAAAATTAGTATGCAAATTTTTTGACATGCTCAAAACGGATGGCAGAGAGGTAGTCCATTGTTTCGAATTTCCAAAATCCCATTGGCGGTTAAGCGGTTAAGAACCTGTAGTATTTATTTTCTAATTCGTACATATGTATACTTCGAAACTTTATTTTCAATTAAATGGTATTTGACAAATTATTTCAAACAATATAATTATAAGTATATAAATTATGTATGTATTCTTATTAAAGTCGAGAACACTTTTATTTGAATTCATTTTATATAAGCTTTAACAATTATTTTTCATAAAGTAGAAGGTCCTTCAAAGCTTTTGGAATTTTTAACACATCCCGAACTATATTTCTTCCATTATTATCGACTATTAGGTCAAGATTTTTCATAATTGAAATTTGTTTCATGATTTCTTCCTGAAAATCACAGAAGTCTGAGTGACTAAAGATCAATAAACTATGATTGCATAATTTTACTTACATGAAAAGTTGCCATCAGATAAAGAATTCCCTTGTACTTTGATATGGCATCAAGTGAAAATGGTAACAATGTAGAATATAGTTCAGACGTCAGAAAAGTGCCATCTTTTAGCATGTTGAGCGAGTATAATGTCATACGATATTCTAATATTCAATTAAAATATTAAAATACAAAATCAATACTTAAATGTCTCTTTTTAAATAAATATAAATATTTACCAATCACTTGTAAACTAAAAACTTTAATTTCAGTTGCATTTTCTACTGGAATTCGAAGGTGATCAAGCAGGATCGCAATTAGGTTTAAAATATCAGTATGTAGAGATTTTTTTTGTATCGTTAACAGCATGATCATGTGATGGTGGCAATGGCGGACCAGATACTTCTACGTGAAAAATTTCTTTATCATTGAATAACCGGACACCTTTCAGGATAATTAAGGAACAATTGTTAAATAATAAGTTGAAATTATGAATATACGTCATTGCTTACCTCTTACATCAACCTTAACAATACCAGAGTTTGTAGGTGTTTTCGTTAATTTTGATGCTGGTGAATGTGATTCGATCCAATCAAAACACATATTACCAAATGTGACTTCATAAAATTTGAACAAAGAAGAAATGTTTTGAACGATATACTTTCGTTCTCCAATTTTTCTTGACAAATTAGGAAATATATCGACCATATTGTAGCTAGAATCAAGAAACAATGCTAAGTGACAAATCATCTGAAGAACAACAATAAATGAGAAAAAACTTACAAGTCCATTAATATCTTTTCACAATAAAGGCGAAACGTGTTGTTTTCATCACCATCAATTTTTTGCATTATTTCCGACTTAAAATTATTTCTCAATTTCTATAACATTGTAGCAAAGATGTTAAAAATTTATTGGCTTCTGATATAACATTAATTAATGTCGCGAATACCTGCCTTAAAAACATTATCAATATAAATATTTAAAGACTCCGTCCATACAGATGGTTTTTGAACTACAACTTGATCATGTTTCAATAATTGTCTCATGACATTAAAATACTGAACAATCCTTCCATCATTCATCTGTCGTTTATTTGGAGTAAGAAAAATTGTATCTTCATTATAATTTCGTGACGAGGGAGACAGTGTTTTTACTCCACTTTCTTCATTTTGCACCTAAATGGTAATAAGATTATGTCAAATTAGAAAATTAGCTACATTTTCAAATTTTCAACAATTAAAAGTTTTAGAAAAAATCGCCTTACCTCATCTAAATTCCCTAACTCTGTTACTATTTCGAATTCATCATTTGATCCTGATATCAAAAAAGGATTATCATCAGAAGAGAGTTGATCTTGGGAAATGGATGATTTTTCACCTGGTACCCAAAAAGGATTATCTTCATTATCATCATCATTATTACTATCCTGTTTGTATTACAAAGAATAATCAATTAAAATTTTGCTAGTCCAGCAATAGTAAATCAATGAAAACCATCACCTTATGAGTTCTGTTATGTTTTGATGTTCTTTCGTTGCTATTATCGAGGAACCTCTTCGCGATGCTGGTGGTAGTTGACGTGGCATATTTTTGAATTTGTTCTGTCGCCACCGTAGCAACGGTTATATGTTGGTTTGTCTGTGTACGAGAAATGAATCAAGAGTGAATTTTTGATCCATCACGTTAGCTAATTGGGGAATGAGTGAAATACCTGCAACTCCTGAATTTTCATCCTTGCCTGTTCTTCTTGTAAATTGTTTCTCGCTACAATATTTTGTCTTTCATTTTGAAATTCCCAAAAACGCTTTATTATTGATGACCGTTTACTTCCCTACAAGCAATATAAAACATGAGTACCTGTGCCTAACAGACTTTGTTTTATAATTGGTCCAATTCACATACAAGAAAAAATACAATAGGAAGCGTCACGAACAGTCAAGCACCTAGATTGTATTCAATTATTGAATAACTATCTTTCGCAAGCACTATGGTTCCCAAAGTCCATTGAGTATAGCTCATCAACAGATATGCAATCGTTCCACTACAAGCACCACAGGTTGTAGAGTAGTTGATGTACTCAATTGTACTAAGGGTCTCAAGGTGGTTCGTGGAGTATACTTCACCAACAGACAAGCAGTCGTTCCCACTACAAGCGCCACAGGTTGTAGGGTAGTTGATGTACTCATGATCCTAATCCAAATAGTATGTACACTTTACTTGCCTTAAAAGCAGTTTTCCACTTTTGCACTTTCTGTCCAAACTCGGATACTTCAGTGTAGAATTTACTGATTTCATTCAGTTCTTTCTTGTAGCGATTATACTCGGTTTTCATGTCTTCTAAATTGCCAGCAGAAAGTCAAAAATCTAAAAATTTTTTGAGCGAAGGCTCACTTGTACTTTCCCAAAAGGCTAAATGATCATAAGTGATAGGTTATGTTATAAATCATAAGAACATCGGCACAGTTTATGAATAAACTTTATCTTACCAGGGTATTTCACAGCATTTAGACATTCAGGAAGAAGGTGCATAATATCAAGTTAAAGGTGGATTGAGAAAATTTTGTATATATATTATTTATTTTTTTCTACACAAAAGGAAATAAAAATGATAATAATAACAAATTACAACATAGCGGGCTTTATCTGTGATTGGTTGATCTATAAAGAAATTGATTGGATAATTTTATAATATGATGACGTCGCCTTTAATATTAATATACTTTCAAGACAATAAAAATATAAAAATAGGAAATTCTTGGCACATTTTTATTAATAACTTGTAATGAATTATTCAGTAAAGACATTAGTGTAAAAATTCTTGTAATAAAAAAAAATGTGATAAGTACACCTATTACTATAATACAAATATCTCATATAAAAATGACTAATTTGAGAAAAAAACCATGCCCACCCATAAAATAATATGTTGAAAGCAATTTTTCGTTTGATACAATCAATAGATGTACTGTTTGCTCATTATCTATGATATATTAAACTATTACACAATTTTTATCTAATAATGACTATTAAATAAAACTAATAACATATCACATACCATTATAGTCAGCCCCACAACCATTATTCATACCTTCTCTTTCCAGTAATCTTTTACATTATTTAGAACTATGAGATAGCCAACCAAAGCGTAAAAGTTATATAATTAACATTATAAATGTACCTTTTTAACTTTTACAATAAAAAATAATTTAATTTAAATAAATAAATGCTTATTTATCAAGACTTCTCAAATTACTAACCGGTATATTAAACAGAATATAGTAGAGAGTATGGATCCTGGTAGTTATTTAAATTATTAATTTAAATTATTATTTTTAAAATGAACATATTATTTACTAAATGCAAAAAGTCTTCTATAACTAACTTCCGAATTACTCCACCTTTTTTAACATAGAATGAAATGTGTATTTTTGAATATGATAATTTTCTTATTTTCTGTATTTATGAAGCTGCATTCCTATTTAAAGTCAGGTGATGGTAATTTTTCATATATATATGATAATCATTTCTAAATTCAACCAATCATCATATTTAAGCCCACTATGTTCAAATTTAAATTTAGATGCGCACATTATTATCTTTATTTATTATAATAAACAAGTGTATAAACCTAACAAAAAATCAGACGCATATAGTGTGAGTATTTTATTATGGGAGTTGACTAGGTAATTTAGATGTAAATCATCAAAAATATACTTTGATATTTGATATTATCAAAGGAACTCATGAAGAATCTATTCCTGATACACCTGATGAATATGTTAACTTATACAAAAATAAAAATCGATCTGTATTATTTCCATTTTATTAAAATTTTTGTTATTTTTCTTAATCATTTTATTTATTTGCAAAACATTGGCGGGATAATCCAGAAAATAGACCTGACAATAATAACATTTTCTGTTTATGACCAACAATGTGTGGAAAAATTCATTGGTAAAGGTAGTCAATTTTTTATTAACTTGCTATTATTTCATTTATTGTTTGCTTTTTAAGTTGTCTTTTTTCATTTTGATTATTAATAATGGTAAGCCAATTTAAATCTAGGCCATAATTATTTTTCATGGGGAAGTTGTCCAAATTTTCAATTTTTCTTCACAACAACCATATCTTTTAAATCATTTACCTAAAAATATTCCATTGATTCATCCAAGTTTAATTCCATTCATATACTTTCCTTCAATTTTAAAACAATTATAAAAAACTACAAAGTGAACATAAAATTATA